TTTCGCTCCGAGACGAGTGAATGCTCAATTCGCTTGGGGATTCTTAAGTAATACCTATGGGTTATTTTTTCTTTCGCATGGGGTATTCTGTACTGCCCTGAGATCAGTGGCCAGAAAAGAACTATCAACTAGTGGATGAAAACCACGAAGACGGTACATAAGTTTCATCATATTTTTTACGAAGCTTGACTGGCTACACTGGAGTTGGTCCTTCTAAATTATAGACATGTGCGTTATGACCTCATTCAGACCATCCGGACTTTTAGTGATCATGGGTGTGTTCTAGAGTTAGATACCAATTTTAAAGCCGCACGATGGACCGCTTGTACGGCTATTCCTTTTAAATCCAGGAGAAGTTAGCGCCCACGGAGGCCTAAGGAACGCATTCTCGCGGAAGGTCGTCAGAGTCTGGAACGGCGCTGCGATGGCAGTTTCATAAGCTGTTGAGATATCTGAATGCAACATTAATGTTCACTTGCTGGAGAGCTACGTAATCAGGAGTGGTAGTTTGAAACTGACTTACGACTAATGGGGAATTTGTATTTTCCTGAATTAATACCATAAAATTTGATGAAACAGCCTTTTGAATATGAATACCCAGCTCAATAGCGAAAGGTTTATGTTCTTATGAAAGTGAAGGAAAAATGTCAACAGGCCATATTTCCTTGACAGATTAACCTAAAAGGTTTTCGTGTCTTTCTGTAACATTTTTTGGAGAAAGCTCTTAGTATCATGAAAAAGTTAATGCTGCAAACCATGCCATAAACTAGCAGTGAATCTAGTTTGATTATACTATGGTTGCAGTTCTTTTGCCTTATTAACTTCACTTTGATATCACTTTAAAGGCAGCCGAAGTTAGCAGATTAATTATAATTATTCCTACTTTCCCCGTCGTCCCCCCTTAATCCGATTTTTTTAAGAGCTATGTTCTACACTTTTATCTTTTGGATTTACGTATTTTTCTTCAGGCATTTCGTTTTTGCCCCCACTGCCCTTCGATATTCGGAACAGTTCCCTGCAGGGGAAACGCGAAAATGCTTTCGCAAGAATTTTTCTAGCACCGTTTGCCTTTATAAGAAGTCCAACCGCCAAGATCCTTTTCCCATTTGCAGTTCACTTCGGTGTATATGAAAGAAATATACTAACTCTAGATGTTCAAAAGAGCCTTCACGTCCTGGTCCATGCAAACGTTCGGTAAGCTCATGGTCGCGTTCATCCGCCCGATCATTGAATATGTATCGTCAGCTTGGTTCCCGTGTACGAAGGGCGAGATGACAGATGTCGAATGTGTACAGCGGCTGGGGTCAGGCATGGTAACAGAATTCAGGGGGCGCTGTAAAGCGCTGAAACTGTTTACCTGCGAATTTCAACCAAATTATAATATGTAAAGTGATCATTTGTGGTGATATCCCAGAGGTCGCACGGTTCTTCCAACTGGCCGTTGGTATGCCTACGAGCGGACAGTGCTTCAAGCTAGTGATGAAACGGACAGATTGAGTTCCGAACATCTATCATCTCTCAAGACGCGCCGTGAACGCAGTGAATGACCTCCCCTTTGTTGTTTCTGTCGACAAAATTGCCAGGTTAAAGAAAAAATGCGACGCCTTATTTGTATCATGATGTATACCGTTTACGGGAGTGCCCCTGACTTGGCGGGGCAATTGGTCTGACTTGAAAACTCCCATATGTCCAGTGGCTGCAAAGAAAAGGTGTCCACGGATCCGTTTCCTACCCTATATGGATTAAATGTGAAACACGAACTCCAAACTCGTCACACAAATCTCAAGTATTAAAATCCGTGTAAAAATTACGTCATCGAGTGGATGGAAACTCATAAGCTCTAACATGTATCGCTGGTTTACTATTTGTTTAAATACTGGCAAAAGACCAACAAAAGTTAGGGGTCTGCGACGTTTGTGAAGACTTATAGGTTGACGCCTGCTAATTGCAATACATCGCCTTATTTCGAACTAGATGTAAGTGTGGCATTTTAAAATGAGCGAGATCAAGGTCGCGAGTAGACCGCACTCCAAAGAATATGTCCTCGAGAAATATCAGATGCTTCGTTTTGAAGCCAACTCTTCCGTTAGTATAGTTTTGGTATCCGGAATGGCAGAAATATTTGGCACAGAGATTGTTTGTGGAACGGATCTTCTTTTAGAGGCAGGCCAGCGTGGAACTATCGTAACATTCCATGGTTGCAAAATCGCAGTCAAGGATCAGGGTTTGGCGGCGTACATCATGACGGCTGCAGAAGACCAGGAGATCCCCCATGTTTTCATTAACATTCATGCAAATTTGGAGGCAGCGAGGAAAAAAGCTATCGAAACGCAGTCAAGAGGACCCCGCGTTCTCATATGCGGACAAGAAAGTGTGGGGAAGTCTACCCTGTGTCGAACCTTAGTAAATTATGCAACTCGAAAGAATGCAAAGCCTATTCTAGTTGATGTTAACGTCAGTTTAAACCAAGTATGTTTGGGAGATGGAGCTTTACGTGTTTCAGGTTTGTATACCGACGACGATGGCCGCCATGGCTGTTACCAAGCCGTATGATTTGTACGAGGGCTGGGGTCTCGAAGAAGATCCACTCGTCTTTTGTTTCGGTCATCTAGATCCGGCTGCCAACCTTAACCTCTTTCGAGAACAGGTAAATTTTTCAACCATACCGGAATTTACTATGATAATAATTGTGATCTTCCAAGAAGACCGCAGATCTTTCGCAGACATTTAAGAGGGCCATTTTTTGGAAGGTTAGAACTATTTACCGCACTCCACGTTCCTTAAACCTCACAGCTTTACCAAAATGCATCTTTTCTATTGCTTGACCAAGTGCTTTTTACGCGTATATCTGCAACCATGACGCATTAGCGGCTGGATTTCAACTGCATAAAATTTGTCTGATTCATTCCATCCTGTCCAGAAAATTTGTCCAAAAGCTGACCGTAGCGCAAGGCCTTGACACGTAGTACAAACTAAAGTTTGCATTTTTACTTTGTGCTCCCTGCCGTGTGCACATGTTCGTGCTTAGTTTATTTATTCCTGTATCTTGTATACACAGTTGTTACTAAATCGTGCAAACAGATGAAATGTACTTCACACGAACTTTTTAGGTCAGAACCTTACTCGGATTTTTTCCCAGCAGTCTTGATATAGCATTTTTCCTGCTATCCAATTAATGCCTGTCCTGAACTACATTTTTACAATCACATATATGCAGAGTCCAAACATATACCGTCTGGAATTTTCTTAATGCATTTCTTAAATTTTAGTTTTCTAGTTCAGTAAACGCATGGTCTAACTTTATTCATTCTTCAATGTCTCGATAAGTCAAAACGTACTATACGTATTTCTGAGCTGTTGATATATATTTTCGAACGTTGCTTCCCCTTCCAGTGTAGCTGCTCGCCACGTTGTGAGCTGGTCTTCACTGTGCTTTCCCCGATTCACTATAGTTATGTTATTTTATTCAACGCTGACCTCTTTATGTTGTCAGGGGGGAGCACCAGTCTGTGTTAAAAGAGTATATACGAAAGCTTGACATGACTGCTATGCCAGTAAGCTCCCCGTACGTCCCAATGCCTCGGGACAGTGGATCAGTCCCACTTGATAGATTGTCACCTCTAACAGCTTAAGTCTAATACTGAGGCCTACTTGACAACATCAACATTTACCTATCAGTGTGTAACTGTCTGCAGTAGGGGATCCAAAGCGTCCAGCTCACCGTCTCCGTATTGCTCTCATTCGACGCCCCTACGTGAGTAGCGGCGTCGAATGACTGATAATACTGTTAGACGCATGGCTGTACTGCAGTGCGGGTATTTGCCCAATCTATCTGCATTTACTTCGGAACCTAGCTTGATTAGGCTTCATTCCAGGGTCACACGTGTGTTGAAATGTACTTGACAGTGCTAGTGACAAAAACCTTTTCAGCAATTTACAGGAAGCTTGTGCATCGACTGCCTCCCCAAACCCCGGCCGTGATCAACGATTTCATCTCAGCACTTTCTGTCAATCACCTAGTGGAGCCACAGCATCAGTGTCGATACAGAACTTATATAGCCGTTGTTCTATTCCCATCCACTTTTATTGACAGGACTAAATCAATAATAACTTGCGCTTCACAACGG